AATTCGAACTCAACTACAATGCAAAGTAAGCAGTCGATAATGTAAACACGGGGTGTGCGATAGACTTACCTCCACGTGGTGCACCCTGGGCAACGCATACTCATACGGCAAAAAAGTCTATTAACCGGCAGTTGACTTCTGACTTCAAACTACCGTGACCCCACTCTATGTCATGTTCGACTACTTCCGCAGTACTCACCTCACCTTTTTCTACCTTTGTGTCTGCCTATTTTACATCTTTGAAACACTCTTCTGTCTTTTTCACCTTGATGTTCCTTCCTCTCTGTGAGACCTGAAGTCAACCAAAGGGCTAATGATAATTATTATTAAAACGCCTGCCATTTGATATAAATAATGTCAACACTCTTTGTTTTTTTTGCACTCCACACTTCGATTCCTAAAACCGATCGAATTAATTACAAAGACGAACAAGCAAGATCAAAAATGACCTCAACATAGGGCAATTCATAAAACAAATAAATTAGTTCAATTAGAGGAGACGTAAACGACTGGCAATAAGAGTGGTTCGAAGTAAAGATTATCAAATTTAAAGGGTGAGGGGGGGGGAATAATTAAGCCGCACAAAGGGATCCCTTCAAAGTGCAAGGACTTAAAATTCTACTTTCTAATTCGTTTACTTCAGACGATCATTCGATAAATGAACGATTTTTGGCGATGTCGAGAAACTAGAGGTTTGGCCATAACAACTGAAATCTACCGGACAGCATATCATGCGGCTGCTTTAGCTGCATCGTCTGCAAATTAGCACGGTCTCGAGACAAATACCTTTTCACAAACGCAACGGAAACACGAAATCAAGTAAAGTCCTTCAGTGAATCATATTTTAGAATAAGGACTGGGAGAAGGACTAATCGGCAGTTGACCTCAAACTAGCATTACCCGACTGTAAGTCATATTTGACCACTTCTGGATTTCTCACCTTACTCTTTTCTCAATCAATGTGTCTGTCCCCCACATCTGTGAATCACTCTTCTCTTCTCCCACCTCTCTACTTTTTGTGACTCTGACATTCCTCCCTCCCACCTCCACCCCACCCCAGATGAGGCCCGAAGTCAACTAAAGGGCCAATGATAACTATTGCAAAGCTCAACATTTTATATGCAAATTTTAAAATGGGTAAATCAGTACGAAAGATGATACGGAAGAAGAACCACTTTTGAGATTGATTAAAGGGGGAAGGAATTGAGTTAATGACTATGGTCGGATATGGGATGCGATAGACTTACCTCCACGTGATGCACCCTGGGCAATGTATTCTCATGCGACAAATAGGGTCTATAAACCAGCAGTTGACTTCTGACTACAAATTGCCATGACCTCACTGTATGCTATACTTGACCACTTCCACCGTACTAATCTTTCCTTTTCTCTGCCTCTTTAACACCTTTGAATCAGTCTTCTGTTCCCCCCACTCCACTTTTCTCACTTTGATGTTTCTCCCCTCTGTGGAACCCGAAGTCAGCTAAAGGGCTAATGATAAGTGTCATAATAATAATGATCTGATATGGTAGCACAGCAGAATTCTCAATCAAAACACATTTAAACAAAAGTATCAACGTGGCAATCACTAAAATTCAACAGGTGATTATAAATATTTATTAAAAGTATCCGAAACCTAGGGACCAGCTTCACAAATAGTGAAAATTCTTTAAGGTAGTAATTTTAAGGTTTTCAAATGTACGGAACAATTTTAGCAGTAAATAAATTCTCAGCTATCCACAGTTAAAAACGGCTTTCACTGGACCACAAGAGCAAGACCAAATAAATATTGATAAAAAACAAATTTATTAATAAATCGTAGAACCCGATTAACCGTATTCAATAACTATGAAGATTAAACTTTTTGAAGTTAGTTTTTATATGCTTTGACCCATTGAACTTCAAGAGAACCGTTTCCAGACTGCTTATAATCTTCGTAAAATCCTCCGAAAATTTGTACTCCAAAACGAAGATCTTTGGAATCAAGAGGACGGGTTGAGTTTACACGTTTACCCCAGTGGTATGGTTTGAAATCAGAGAATGGAAACTTGATCTCCTCAAAATTCTCAGGCGCCTACAAATAATAAATCGTATATTTCCAAATTCAAAAAAATATGTTATGCTCAGAAACTTACCTTGAAAAAGTATTCATATGAATATTCTTGATCAAACAAAATTTTAAACCATTCATTGTTTCCAGTTCTCTTAAGTTTAATCACAACACCATCATAGGAGTCAGCATTAAATGTAACAATTGAAAGCACTCCTGCAAAGCAAGCACCATTTGGAAGAGGAACTAAATCATATTTGAAGGAAGCCATATCAATACCCTATATATCTTAGTCAAAAACTTAACTAATTTACATCAACCCTAGTATTGGATATAGATGCGGATGAATTTCCACCACGAACTTCGTCTGTCACCACTCTCCAAAATGAATAATCCGAAGAATTTGGTCGGGTAAAGTCGAAAAACATGCATTCAGAACCAGTTTTATTGCATATTACATTGATCATTAAGAAAGCCGCAATGAATTCACTGGCCAATATCATTGCAAGACGAAGCTCTAAAGCGCACCCCGAATTTCGCGCAATGTTATCTCAGAGGTCGATTGTGGAACAAGTTAAGTAAACCAAAAATAAATTAATTATTTTTTTAAATATAAAGAATCTTTGAAAAATCTAAACAATTTTAATTTTAATAAGCTGTATAAGTCTCTCATCGGTTTGAATTAAGTGAAATGTGCAAAATTTTTATTTTTGACGAAATTGTCACTGTCCCTATTACCATTTATCATGAACTCTACTAAAAATTTAATAACATATTACTTACTTCAAGGGATGTTGGAAGTCCTTATACTAAGTTTATCATATATAATACTTGCCGATATCGTTAAATTAGCAACTTCACAAATGCATTTCGTCTTCACCACCTCCCCTCCGAGAATCCTCTTTTTTCAACGGTCGGCCTTAGAATTTGTGAATTTAAGAGTTTGAAATATTCTCTCAATAGAAGAAAGCGAAGTCATATCTCCCCTATGTTGTTTAGTTCATTTGTTTGGGAGCAGTATCCCTCTTTTGGAAATTGGCTCCTATCAATCTCACTTTAATTGTTCAGTTGCTGAATAAAGCTACAAAAGAATCCTGGAACATATGACTTGTAATATCGCAACCTAAGTCGACAATGGCACCCAAAGTGGTTTTGTAGACTTACGTCATAATTCATATTTGTCAAAAAAGTAGTTCTCTGGTGAGTTGCATATTTAAATTCTGAATCAAATTTATAACTCTCAATTTTGAATTATTTCGTGTTGACTGCACACTTGAAGCTTACCTCAGTATGTGGTTGACTTTCGCATATGGTAAAACTAAAATAAAATATTACTAAATGGAAATCAGTAGAATTGTAAATAAATCGGACCTAGATTCGGAAGGTGCATTTAGGTGGTTCAGGACTGTTTCTCTTAAAAGGCGCCAAATTTAAATTGTTTAAATTGTCTAGCATATAAATTGGGACTGAGAACGATTGGTTCATAAAGCTTTGAAGTTGTGTATGCGCGTCAAACCTAATATTTCTCTGAAAGGAGCCTGGTATTGTGATTAATAACTTTGTACTGTAATGGCCGTCTACACGCCAATTTTGCCTCTAAAAGTTAGGTTAATTATCTCTATAAACACACGTGGAAATCAGAGACAATTATCAGGCCTATCGCTATTATAAGCCTGGCGCTTAGACAAATAAACAGAGTATTAGAAATGCAATTCGTGACGTCTCTAAGAGTGAATGTTATATAAAGCATGAAGTTTTATTAGAATTTCCGTTTCCACATTGGGCAGTAGAATTATTATTGCTTAAAAGATATAATTTAATCACAAAGATGAAAGTTGCTAGCATTACCGTAATATTAAGCAGGGTGCAGATATCAGTATTCAATATCCTAAATAAAAGTTAATTAGGAATGATCATAATTTGGGCTCTCCATAGCAATTCAAATATTTTTTACCAATGTATCACTCCATCAAACTTTATTAGTCAAAATGAAACGTCTAGACTCTAAGAAAGTGCAGTTGTTAGACTAGTAATGAGCACACTGGTAGAATTACGAGTTAGGAGTCAATATCGCATAATGGTACAGTAAGCAGCATAAGAGTCGAGGATCACAAGTAGAAAGAGCTCAATGTAGCTCAATGGATGGAAGGTAGAAGGTTGAAATAGAATGCTCAGCTCTCAAATGGCAACATTTAGTCATTTGGGGAGACGGATTTTTAAAAGATATCAAGTGTCAAATATCTAAAACGAAGTCGACCATAAAGAGCCACTTAAAGTCGTGAATTTGATGGAGAACTCCTTTAATAAATAGAAGAAGCAAATTTAGATTTTATCATGCATTTTACCGTTATCTCACGTGATTTAAATGTTGCATTCATTCTTCGTCCATTTCACGCGCTTGTATGCTAACATCATCTAATCAGACAGCCCAACTAAATTACTTATTCATTGCGTCACACCCCTGTGCACCACGAAATGTATATTTATTATCTATTTAGAATATCTCAGTTATCACCGGCACCATCTGATCTCCAATGGAGTGATGTCAGATGCTAACTGTGAATCTGAGATTCCATGGTGAGAGTCAAAAGGCCATTATTATGCATGTACTTTTAAAGAGTCAATCAAAATCAAAATAGGCCTGCTCAGTAATATTTGTGTTAGTGTTGTAGCAAACCATAAAGACGTCACTCAGTAATTGTCAGATTGGAGCTTTAATAGATCGTGAAATTCGACAACAACAAAGTTACATTTAGGAGATGTCAATTTGTCACAATTGGTTTTATTTGCCTCTTAAGTGCATGCTCCATCATTTTCGTCCAAATTCACACAGTCCTAAATTAAAGACAATAGCTCATTTCGTGTTTAAGATAAGTTGATGACCCACAATTGTTTGAGTTTATGTGGAGGAAGAAGCGAAAAATCCTATTGTTATAAGTTATAAGGAATCATGGCTTTTATTCAATGACTGAGTTTGGTACATTTTATTAGATTTCTGCGCCAATAACACTTTTCGAATTAAGCTAATTTGTCTAAGTTACATAAAAGAATTGATTCTTTTAAATGATATCTGTGAAAATGAGCTTAATATCATACTGCAAAGATTTCAATTATTCACTCTTGTTTCTCATCTACTCAATCATTGAATCCTGTGAATTTGACAATGTTTACATGCTTGTCATTTTCGTTTTACTCATCATAAAGTGATACTCACTGTAGCTCCTCGTACTGACAAGGGATGTTATCAATCCCCCCCCCTTTCATTTTATGTCAATCGGAAGTTGGCAACTAGTCTTCGCTTTCAGTTTCAAAAGCAATTTCTGCTAGTCAACGACTCATTGACTTCCTTTGTGAAGGATAGTCGTTTGTTTGTAACTTATTGAATGACCTTTAAGTTTGTAAGATGGGGGATGTGCGATAGACTTACCTCCACGTGGTGCACCCTGGGCAACGTATACTAATACGACAAAAAAGCCCATAAACCGCCTGTTGACTTCTCATTTCAAACTACCATGGTCCGACTACTTGTTATATTCGAATACTTACACAGTACTCGCCTCGCCCATTCTTCTATCTGTGTCTGTCTCTTTTACATCTTTGAAGCACTCTTCTGTCCCCCCCCCACTCCGTCTCGACTTTTTTCGCTTTGATATTCCATCCCCTCTGTGAAGTCTGAAGTCAACTTAAGGGCTAACGATAACTATCAAAACGCCTGCCATTTGATATAAATAAATAAATGTTTGTAAGATTAAAACGGTTAAAGAATTACTGCCTCTTACACAGTCACTATTGGCACTTCCGTTAATCAAATTGATCACATTGAAGGCCTATTTGCTCTGTTAGAGCAAAAATTAAGCAGATTTTACGGGCAACTATCTTGAGTTTGGACTCTTACCGTCACGTAGCTTCAGGAACACCTGTACTCAATGAAGAACCAAAATCACTGTAAACCAACGCGAAATGACCATTTCTGTGGACATAAAAAATAAGTGTAATGACTTAGAGCTCTTAGTAAGGCAAAGTAGCGTTGAAGTTAGGCACGATTCCTGTCACGTTCTTTGTAGACACCTCAAAAATGTAATTCTAATCGCATCATGTGAATTGACGAAATGTTTACAACAGTTACGAATGAAAACGTCTATAGATGGCGACCGTACCCAACAAATAGAAAAACAGGAGTAAATATTTGTGTGAGGGGTCAGAATACACTGTTTTATTTTTGCATCCAAATATGGTCAGAAGAGAATTCGGAATTTTTATTTGATTTAACTTAACTCAACGTTCTAATGTTCAGGTTTCATCGGGAATTTGGGAGGAATTTAAACTGAAAGAAGAGTTGAATCTAAGTCCATAATATTTATTAAAAAATATAACAAAATAGCCATATTCATTAATATATTATGGTATTCTTTATTTTGTAGGATAGCGGAAATGAATTTTGCAAAATTGTTATTCGTCCAAAAGCATGTTCAAACTTCACAATTAATTCTTGCACTATTTTCCAAAATTGACCTCGATGTAGAGTCCAGAAAACATGATTTAGTGTGATTTTGTGTTCGTTCATTTAGTTCATAATTTTTTCATACACCATTTATTAGTTAAATGAGTCTTTCTGCTTAAAAGATCATCTTGATGTATGCTGAGATCTATCTCAAGGTGATTCATAATTTCAACGACATCGAAGTTCCAAAGAGTCGTCTTAATTTTACTTGCAAATTCCCATTGCAGTCGATGATCATATAATTCAAGTATGTTCTCTTTCCCACCCTCTGTCGACATGGGAAGGTTTACCAAAAAGTCTTCAGTAGGAAATTCTCTAACGACTATCCCCCCCCCCCCCCCCCCCCCCCCCCCCCCACTCAAACACATTTGGCAATAGCAATCAGGCGTGAATCAAAGAATCGATAAGAACGATCACGATTATTTACTTTAGCCATTATTGCGGAGAAAAGGTAAACAAATGCAGGAATTACATGCCAAGCGTTAGAACCCACCAATTTCTACCCCATTGTGAATGTTAAGCGAAAGCATTGCAGTGCTTCACCAGAAGCACTTTTAAACATGGCGCATAAATTACTTCCCAAGTTTGCAAACATTGAGGTGAAATCTTGTTGCGAATTCTGATGTCACACGCTGTGCATATTAACGCAGGGGCTAATGAGATGTAGGACGGTGTTATTTAAGGCAAATCGTGTGACCTCACCTTCATTGCTGTATATTGGTGGTCATGCGCACGATATGAATTAACACATAGAGCAACTGAAAGCAACA